CACACACACACACACACACACACACACACACACACACACACACACACACACACACACACACACACACACACACACAGGTTCATAAATATCCATTCTCAAAAATCTTCAGAGACCCTAATAAGCTGGTAGTATGCTGACGGTTGGTGTTTGTGTGAGCCTTCTTGTGCGCTGTTGGAGTGTCTGGGAAAGAAATGTCTTGAGCCTGAAGGGAGAACGTCCATCGGGATATGAATATGGAGATACATGCATGCAATATGCTGAGAGTAAATTTCACTGCATGTTCAGAAAATCCAAACTGAGCACTGATGCAGTTTGGGACATTCTGATAGAAAAGTGCTCCGAAGAAAAAAAAAATATTTAAAAGCCTTGCATTCCTTAAAGTAATATGTTTTGCTTGGAACTTTTAATACCAGAGCTTTAAACTAAGATCATCTTGGGTTAGGATGACCAGATGTCCCAGATTTTTGTGGAGAGTCCCTGTATTAGACAACATGTCCCCAGCTGAAGCTCTTCCCAACTTTAGCATTTTTGAATGAGAAAAAAGTTTTGTGTGTAGACTAGTAGCTGGATAGAAAACAGAAGTAAGCATGTTGCTGTTACAGTAACTGGTTGAACTGCAGTTAATGTTGAGCTGAACACWCTGCCTTTATGCTGCACTAAAGGACACTGAGTTTGGTGGAAGTAATTTGTGTGCATGTGTGTGACTGTTAAAAATGTGAGTGTAAAAAGAAGTTGTCCTGGTTTGTCATCTTGTTTAGGTTGGTTAGTTGTTCATGTTTAAGTTTATGTTATTGRATGTGAATTGATACCATGAGTGAGATGTGTTTAGAGACAATCACTTTCTGTCTAGGGGATATGTGAAGATAAAGTGTGAAATTGTTGAAACCCACATCTGTCGTTTGTGAGTGCTAACTACCAGCAAAGTATCCACAGTTTGTTCAAAATAAATGAAAGCGTAATCATTCCAGGGTTTTTATTTCATTTTCCTAACAAAATTATTTTTCATCTTTGAGTTGGAAATGTCTGCAGATTTGCTCTTGGAAATCCATTCACTTTATTTTGTGTTGAGAAATGATGTTATGCAAAATCATATGTGCTTTTTCCACACCAACAGTTAGCTCTATCAGTAAAATCAACAGACGTAAAAATCGTTGTGTGTTAACYAAAGTTGAACAGCTGCGGCAGTCATCTTGACATACAGTCATTTTAAAACTTTATTCATTGTTTGTTAATGCACATCCAGTATTGTTTTTAAAAGATTCCAATAAAATCTGTCAGTGGTTTGTGATATGTTTTGCTGACAGACAAACAAACAGTTTAAGCAAAGATGTAACACTGGAGATGATTATCAGCTATCACCTCACCAATTTGTAGCTTAGCATTTGCAAAATTGGCTGAGGTATGGCCATTTTTTGTGTTTTAAATGAAACCTTTGGAGTTAAAACACTTGGGGTGGGGGGTATATTCTATATTTTCCAAGCACATAGTTCAATTCTGCACCRAAATCAAGTAACCATGTTAACTTCATTTGCTACAAAAAAAAGCTGCAGCAATTGGTCTCTGTCACTTTAAGAATCTCCTACCATTTCTGACACTCCCACTTCAGCACGTCTTCGCAACAATGCTTCAGTGGAGGGATGCTCCGTGGGGCAGGAGCTTGGCTGCAGTCTGAGCTCCAGGGAGGAGCTTTGTGCAAATGGGCGGTGTTTTGTACCTGCACGCATTTAGGCAGCTCCACCTGGCTACCACAGGAGATTCAAGGATTCTCAAACATGCATTAATCAAAACAACACTCTGGTATTTTTTGGATGAGAAAAGACATTATAACATGATATAAAGTTTAAAAAAATCTATTTTGCATAATATTCCCTTTAACCTGCATCATTACTTTCAAAACACAGTGGTACAAAAATTCCTTTACTAAAACAGAGGTAGAGTTAACAAACGATCACAGTGACACACACACACACACACACACACACACACACACACACAC